GACCCTCTAACGGCAGCCTCTCAGCCCTCCTTCTCTCCCCTTGTCTTCAGCCTTCCCTGGGTCACTTCCCCTCTGACCCTATTGCACCCTTTAGGCCCTTCTACTCAGGGCCGGCAATCCGGCAGGTATCAGGCTGAAGCTCCACTCTGCTTCCCTGAGCCTGCCCAGCACTGCGCTGTCCTGGGTGCTGGTCTCCTGTTCAGGAGACAGACCTTCCTCCCTGAAGGTCTGGGACAGACCGCCTGCTCCTCTCCTGGGCAGCTTTTTTATAGGGCTGAGCCTGGCCCTGATTGGCTGTCTCCAATCTGGGCCCTGATTGGCTCCCAATAAGCCCTTCCCTTATTGGCTGCCGGGCTGCACAGGCGCACTGGCCTGCCTCAGCCCCCTCTAGCATGGGGGTGGGGCAGACACCCCACCACAACCAGAAACAAAAGTAAACTTCTGTCTCAGCATACTGGATAGCAAGAAGTCAGAAAAGCAGTTTCCTTGGACATTCCAGTCCTTGTACCACCACCAAAACACTAGACTTAGTGATGAATAATAATTTAAACCAATTTAATCAAACAAAAGGGTTCTTCTGATCCCAAAGGGCCAGCCACACACCCAGATCAATATATAACTCAGATCTTACCCCATAAGCATGCTGTTGCCAAACCTGTAATATCTACATTCTAAAGGTTTATTTATAAAAAGAAAGTAAGAAAGGTGAGAGTTAAACTTGGTTCAAGGAATCAAATACATACAATAAATGCAAAGTTCTTGGATCAGGCTTGTAGCAGTGATGGAAGAAACTGCTGGCTTGTTAAGTCTCTGGTTGCTTCCAAATCATTGAAAAGTCCTCAGTCCCTTGGTTAGAATGGTACCATTAGTACAAGTTCATCATAGTCCAGAGGTTGGAGCAGAAAAGAGGCCAATACTCGTAACTTCAGATACAAAAATGATACATGCATACAAATAACACAGTCATACTCAGCACATCCTAACTTTTCTATTGACATCTTACTTGACACACTTTGTATAAGAATTGTTGCAATTGTATAACAATGATAACAACAATGACGTACATGGTCATATTTTAATCAGATAACAGCACACTGAGTTATTGCCTCTTGGGGAGGAGGATTAACTACAGAAATAGATAGAAAAATTCAAAGTTTGAAAATCCCTGTGTTTAGCTCCCAGGGGTAGAAACAGTATTATTGGTCACACAACTATCCTGTCTTCATTCAAAACACAAACCAAAAAAGCTGTAATTATTATTTTAGCTGGAAATTTACCCTTTTAGGGACGAATAAATTTTGTATCAAATTTCTAAGAAATGTGGTGGTGATTTTCTCATTATTAAAGCTATTCAGAATTTTCATTTCATGGGAAATTCCATGAGTTCAATTTTTTTTCATTCCAATTCTGACTTGTTTAATTTTTATTAAACTTTATGTCATTTATTTTATTTTCTATTTTATTCTACTGTTTCCTTTTTATATAATATTTCATTTTGTATTATTTTATACAATTATTGTTTATTCCCCCTATACAAACTTTTGTAGAAATTTCCCAAAGAACATTTTGATCTTGACAATTTGGCATTTTCTGATGGCAAAAACATTCCATCCGAAAATTATCAATCTTCATTAGCACATATTAGAGAATCTTGTACCAGAACTATAGGCCCCTTGTTGGTCTATTGGAGTGAATGGTAACCACCAGAACGTGTATTCCATCAGTTACAGAAGAACACAAATATCCACTTATTTCTCAATACAAAACAAACTAGAGGATTATTATTCCCAGTCCTCTCCTAGCATCATTTGCTTCCTAATCATGCAGTAACATCTCATCCAATTTATCACCAGTGTGAATAATTTTGTGTCACCAAAGCTTTTTGTCTCATAATACCCAAATGTTAAATATTTGTGGCTCACACAACTGTATTTTGGAAAAAGACGTTTTTTAAAAATTAATCTCTGGAAAAAATATTGCAGACAGGGATTAAATCCCATTGCTTAACTCTTCGAACGATGCATTTCTAATCTGAAACTGGCTAGAATACAGAGACAGACCAGAATCTTCTCAGACCATGGCTTAAATTTTAAATTCCAAGTTGATTGACTCCATAATTTAAGGAATATTTTTAACTGAAATCAGGGGTTTAATCATCATTACTGGCTATTTTCCATTCACTGTGATTAGCTGCCGTGTAGAGATCAATAGGAAGGATACAGAAAAAACTGGCTTCCTCCTAATGCCCATTGTACACCATGGCCACGCCTTTACCAAACTTCAACCTCTGCTCTCCCTAGTCTCCATGTTACAGTACGACTGCCCCTTTCCCATCTCTGCAGCCCCCAATGACAATTGGCCCTGGGTACATTCTTGCTTGTGCAGCCGGCGCTGAAGCTGGTACTTTTAGTGCGCTAGCTAGAGTACAGCTAGAGCGGCTACAGGAGATTCCATTCACACCCCTGGCTGCAGTGTAGATGCACCCCATGTATGTAAACTGAATTATTCAGTCAGGCCTCTTTCTGTCAGTCGGCTGCTTTTGACTTGGAAAATCAGCGTAAATTCTCAGCATGCCATTTTAATGCAGAAGACAGAAAGTTTTCTTGGATTCCCGGAGTTCTTTTCAAAGTCACAAACATACTGACATAGTTTCACAGGGACTCACTTACATGAGGTCTCCACACGGATTTTGCACCAGGATCACTATTCGGTTTAGAGGTGTGACTTTGTTTTGGAAATCATTCTACCACTACAACCTCTAGTGCGGACACAGCAAACCAATATCGAGGTCCCTTGGACTGGTATAGCTTCTTCCCCTTCGGAATGAACTATCCTGATACAAGCAGCTTTACATCACTGTAGTTGTATCCAGTCAGATTAGATGAGTGGCCCCCTCATGGTGCCCATGGGAGGCCTCAGGGCAGCCCAGAACGCAGCCCCTCACCTCAGTTTCCCTTCTTCGTTCCCCAAATACACTCCACACGGGCTTGTTCCAGTCCAATCACAACAGCCCCCATTTAGGTTTCATTTATTAACTTAACATTCAAAACTAAATTGCAGATGAAACCTTCTCTCCAGTTGTCTACACCCCAAACTCTCGCCATGCAGTCTGAGTCCTGCCCGCCTTAGCAGGCCACTCCCAGCCCTGCCTAGCTGGAGCAATTCCCCCGGTTGCAGGGTTTTCCCTCATTCACTCTCTGAACATTCACATCAGCCTCCTGAGTTTGCCTCTTCCCCTGTCCCCCTTCTGCCCTTTATTGGATATTGCCTGATTCCCCTCAAGTGGGGACCCTTCTCTAACCAGGGCTGGCTTGGCCCCCGCTCCCCAACCCACGGGCATGCGGCCCTGTCACAGGCAGGGATAGGCCAATATAGTTTAAGTGCTGCAATTTCTATATGTACACAAGCCTTGACGCATTTATTCCTCACACCGAACATGAAGGGGAGAGATAAGGGGACATCTGACAAGAGAGACGACAGAAAGAGAAAACTCAGTTTAGTTCTTTTATTGCACGATGCTCTTGGTGACAGAGACACAGTTATTAGGGTAACTGAGAAAATAGAGAAACACTAGAAGGAACTGGTGGAAAACATCCCCTGGGAAAGTTCTCAATATATTGGTTTTGCTGTAAATGTACAGGCTGAGTTTTCCCATAAAAAGGCCAATCTTAGGCACCCAAATCCTATGGACAGTGAATGGGAGGTGAGCACCTCACACCCTTCACTCCTATTGTCAAATACAATTGGACATGGTGGAGCAGACAGGGCACTGGACCAGGACTCTGGATAGTTGGTTTCCTGCCACGAGTATACTGAGTGATTCCAGCCCTCTGGGATTCACAAATCCAGCTTGGCTGCTGGCAAACCCTGCAGGCACAAAGGCACCCAGATGCCGAGGCCCCAGAGCTGTAGGGACGCATAGCTCCCGAATCGTCAGCTCACAGGTGCGGCACACTGTTTCTGTGGCTACGAGGCATGAGTGACCTTCACCCCAGCGTTTGTGATTAGGAAACTTATTGGCTGACTTGATCATCACCCTCGCAGCTGGCTTTCACTTGCACAAGATATGGGTTTGTTATCTCATGTTGTTGTACACTGTATGCTTCTTCTATGCGCAAGAATTTAACCAGTTAGAAGTGTTGTAAGCAGGGAAGTAGAAAGAATAAAAACCCCAGGGAAAATTCCCTGGGAGGCTTTTAGGCTTTTTGGCTTTCTGGCTACCACAGACCAGGCGTTCTGTTTCCTTTCTTCTCTCGTCGCCACACAGAGCGATGCACAAACCTGGGGAAGGTGGGTGTTCCCCTGCCTGACTCTCCTCTAGGGCCCCATCTGGCAGGTCAGGTGCCCAGAGGCTTTGAAAAAACACCACTTAGACCCCAAATATCTGGAAACAACTGGCCTTAAATTGTTGCTGAAAATAAGCAAATAAGGGGTCTGTACTGGTGTTCTGTGTTCCAGGGCCCAGGTCAGAGGGTTTCCTTTGGCTTTTCTCTTCCATTGACTGAAGCCTGGGGATGAAATACACTCTGAAAAAAAAGTTAATTATTCAATTTTCTAACAGTGGAGTTCCATGCTGACATTGCAACCCTGTATTTTTAGAATGCAGGCGTCTGATTTTTCAGGGGGTTGTGTGTATATCTAGAATTCTCTCACCCTAAACGGAATAGATGCCCAGTGTTCCAGTTGAGTCCACTTCCCTGAACCCTCTCACTGAGCACAATCTCCCCTCATTGTCTGAACTTTGAGCAGCCACAATTTCAAGTCTCCCACCAGCCCATTAGTACCCACTTGTGGCATCTTATATGGGCGGTAAAAACAACGGGGTCATAGGTTTTCAGAGGTCTCCCCTTCTCCCCTTTGTCCTAGTGCTGTGACTGTATAATAGCATGACTTGAAGACCAATGAAGCTCACGGAAACACAACCTGGGACTACAGCAGGCTTTGCTTCAGGCCCTACCCAGCCCATGTTATATCTATTTTAACCCAAGGAAACTGACCGGTTAGCATGGTCCAAACATGAATTTCCTGAAAGCTTTCCTCAGGGCCTCCTGGACCTCTTTGTTTCTCAGGCTGTAGATGAGGGGATTGACCAGGGGAGTCAGGACTGTGTAGATGAGAGAAAGAACTTTCTTTAAGTCGCTCAGGATGTTGGTGGTTGGAAATGTATAGACAATCAGCAGAGTTCCAAGAAAAATGCTCACCACGATGAGGTGGGAAGAGCAAGTGGAAAAGGCCTTTTGCCTCCCTGTGCTAGATGGGATTCTCAGGATGGTGGAGATGATGCAGATGTAGGACATCAAGGTAAGAAGGAATGGGACCAGTGAGAAAATCAAGCTGAGTGCAACAGCGACCATTTCCATGTGCTGAGGGTCATTGCAGGAGAGTTTTACAAGGGGGATGAGATCACAAAAGAAATGGTCAATACCATTGGGGCCACAGAACATTAACTGAGATATGAAAAATGTTGTTATGCTATTACCTAGGAAGCCACATATCCAGGAGCCACCTGCAAGCTGCAGGCAAGACCTCTCATTCATATGGGAGGCATAGTGCATTGGATTGCATATGGCTAAATATCGATCGTAAGACATCACTGACAGGAGAAGACTTTCTATAGCAACCAGAGAACCAAAGAAATAATATTGTGTCAGGCAGCCACTAAATGAAATAGTCCTGTCCCCAGTCAGGGGACCGACCAACATCCTGGGCAGGATGGAGGAGGTGTAGCAGGTCTCCAAGCAGGACAAGTTCCCCAGGAAGAAGTACATGGGGGTGTGAAGGTGCCGATCAGCCACAACTAGCACTATGATGAGGAGGTTCCCAGCCATGGTTGCGATGTAGATCACTAGGAACAGCAGAAAGAGAGGGATTTGCAGTTCAGGGAGGTCCCCAAATCCCAGGAGGATGAATTCTGTGATGGACGTTTGGTTTCCATGCTCTGGGTTCGCCATGGGGTGTGTCTATGGGAAACGAATGAACTCTGCCACATAAATGAAGAACATTCACTCAATAAAACGTCAGCACTGTTTCATTGTCCCCCTATGCTGGCTACTGGAAGGATGGGTGAGTGGAGAATGGAGACCAGGGAAGGGGAAATGCCATCTTATGATCCCTGGGGCAGATTTCATATCTGAGCAGACTGCAGGTTCAACAAAACATTAATCTCTCTGGAAACTCGTGTAGTAACTTGAGAGATGGCACCAAGCACTCAAATATGAAGGTGATGGGGCTTAGGTACAACAGTACAAGACCGTGTTGCTTCAAATAGTCACACATTTCACTACTTTGTGTATCAAAGCAGAACAGTGTCGTCTGTAGATTGGAGATCCATAGGTGAAACGAGCCAGGATTTGATATTTTAGAGGAAGCCACAACAGAGAAACAAACAAACAACTAAGGCTGGGATTTGCAGTGTGTGGGCAGACAACTCCAAGTGAATTGCAGTGGAAATGGGCCGCCTAACTCTATCAGAGCTATTTGAAAGTTTTTTATCATCAGACAAATGCCTCTCCTTCACTAGGACAATATGTCACTGTCCTGCAGTCGGACACTCTACATATAGAGATGTGATCTGCTTTAAAATTCTAAACCAAAAGAACTCCTGCTAGAAACCACCATGTTAGCTGGAAATTGATCCTCTCTTGCAAGAAAAATTCTGTATAAAATTTGAAATTTGTAAGAAATGTGCAATTTTCATATTATGAGAATGGTGTAGAACCCGAATTTCCATTTCATTGGCAATTCCATGATTTCAAATGTTGGATTTCATTCCAATTCTACTTTTAAAAATGTATTTATCTCTTTTTAAATTCATTTCTAGGATATTATTATTTTATATTATTACATTGTGTTTTATAATTATTTACATTTATTTTTATATTATATCATATCTTATAATATAATAAATTCTATACAATAACTGTTTTCCTAAACAAAATTTGTAGAAATTGTTATGTTCCCTTGGACCATTTTGATCTCTAGCAACAGAATTTATTATCAGCTCTACATTTTCTTCTTTATCTTTTGTAAAAAGTAATATTAATTCTCTCTCGCTCTTTTTCTCTCTCTCTCTCTGTCTAGTCTGCCATTACTGTCTCTCTTCCCATTACTGATCCTTATAAGGAGAGAGCGGGGTGAGGTCATATCTTTTCCTGGACCGATTTACTAATCTTTATTAACTGCTCAGTAAGGCCCTGATCCTGCACAGAATGATGCACAAGGTTAATTTTACACCCCAGCAATAATTCTGTTCAGTCCTAGACTTCTCCGCTTACATCTCAGATAAAATTTCCACTGACTTAAAGGATGTGGCCCCTTTGATTTCAATGGGACTTGGACAGCGACCACTTGAGCTTTCTTTAAACATACAGATCGGCTGGATTCAATTTCCATCGACAGACGTTGGTAAAGGTCTATATCAGCTGATACAACCAAACCAACAACTGAAACTATCAGTAAGAGTGGGTGTTAGTGCAGCCTCTCCCTGCGCCTTGCACCTGCAGGGATGGTGTCACCGGCCCTGCGGTCATGCAGGGCTGTGAGGAGGAGGGTGAGTCCCTGGCTGTGGGGGAAGCCACCCCACTGCCTAATGGTTTCTGCCCAGCGGCGGAGCATTTCAACAATGAGATGACCTCTCCTGTGGCCGAAGGCTCCCGGCCATCCTCCGCCTCCTCCCAGCCTGGCCATGGATCTCTGCTCCACCTTCCCTGCTCCTTGCACCATTGTGTCTTGGATCCCTCAGCCGGTAGAGAGTCCCCCACACCCTGCTGGCAGCACTGCCCTTGCCCTGACCCGCATCTTAACCTCCGCTGAACTTCCTGTGATTGTAAAAATCAATAGTTAAATGGGGGGGGGGGAATCTTAACAATACAATAATCCCAATATTAACCCTTTAAAGGGAGAAACAAAACCAATTTGTTCCGTGTCTACTTATAGGCAGTGATGGCCGCCCCCCCTGAGCACCGAGCACAGCAGCCAAAAGCAGCTCTGCTTTCCCCTCAGCAGTTCACTCAGTGCCCTGTGAGGGAGAAGCTGCCAGTGAGGGCACAACCCTGTAGGGGTCAGGAGAAGAGATTAGAAAGGAATGAAGCCTGCTCCCGTGTTTGAAGTGCTGGCTCCCATGTTTGAAGAGTCGGCAGATGTTGGTTAATTTCCCTGCTTTATCACCAGCTCTTTGTGTGACTTTCAGGGTAGATTTCCAAAGGTACCTAACAACGCACATTGGTGCCTCAGTAGGGGCCGGACCTAACGCCCATCAATTTCCAATCCCACTGGGAAGTCTGTGTCTTGAGGTGCCAAAAAATCTTCCATAAATCTACCCGTCTGTGCCCCAGGTCCCATCTGTAAAGCAGGGGGAATTGCATCACATAGGGGTGGTGGGAGGATAGATATATTCAAGGCAGTGAGGTGCTCAGATATCAGGGTGATGGAGGCCAGTTAAAGAACTAGGATAGATGGGACTTGACAAGTCTTTCCTATTCCTAAATTCAGTCATTTTGCTTTGGGTTGGGAGTTTGAGAGAGATCAGTGCCCAGGTCCACTTAGATTCCCATGGGATTAGTTACCGAACAGACCTACACTGC